CCCAAGGGCAGAGTGGCAGGGCTGAATTTCTGCTCAGATCCCCACTCTACCCTTAGGTCCCCTGGATCATTCCCAGTGGTGAAACACATTTGTTTCCCAACTTAAACCCTCCTTTTCTGTTGAGACAGGGTTTCTTATGTTGCCCAGGCTGACCCTGAGTGCTTGATCCTCCCCAATCCCAGGTGCACCAACCACCACACCCAGCCCTCCATGGTTTCACAGCCTGCCTCTGTGATACAGAGCCTCCTCTGGACCTCTCAGCAGCATTTCCTGACTGCTAGCCCTTGGCTACTGCATATCACATCTTTTCACTTGCCTTCCACAGGCATTCTCTTTTCTTCTCACTGTTAAGTGCTGTCCTCCCAGGTGGTCACTATTTCTGTGAAATGTCTTGGGAATCATAATGCTGTTAAGATAATCTTACATTACTCCAAATGATTTCAAATTCCTGGGTTCAAGTGATCCTGCTAGATAGCACATACTAAGGTTATGAACCACCATGCCTGGCCCTGGGCCTCTTCTAATTCTATATTCTTCCTAGGCACTCTCACCTACCACAGCCTCGGTCCCATCTGTTTGACAACCCATTTGTCAATCCCCAGCCACATGTCTCCTGTGACCAGCCCTGAGCTGCCTGTGGACATGCCAAGAGGCTCTCAGGCACCTTACCATATCAGAAACAAGTCTATCAGTTTCTCAAAACCAGTCCAGACTCCTCCATGCTGAATGGGTGGTACCCACCTCAGCCTGCCCCACCAATATTTAAGCTGTACTAAGCTAGTCATTCAGTAACCATGTATTATTGTGTGAATGAACACCTACTTGTTAATGTAAGAGTGAGAATATCAACAAATCCCCCTTCTGTCAGCTAGTCCAGTGATCATATTCCCAACAGTGGACTATGATATGGATAGAGATGCATGAAAGCCTGAATCACATGATCGAAGGCTTCCTGACAGTGACCTCCTCTACCTCTGTATGTTACCTGAAGTTAATAAGCAGGAACTGGAACTAGAGAAATGGATCAGCGGTTAAGAGTACTGCTTGCTCTTGCAGAAGACCTGGGTTCGATTCCCAGCACTCACATGGTAGCTATCAACCATCCATTAACTCCAGTTCCAGAGGATCCAATGCCCTCTTTCTGACCTCCTCGGACATTGCATGACAAGAGTGCACTTACATACACGAAGTCTATACACTCATATACATAAAAATATGCAGGAACAGCCAGGCGTGATGGTACACACCTTTAATCCCAGCACTTGGGAGGCAGAGGCAGGAGGATCTCTGAGTTCAAGGCCAGTGTGGTCTACCTAGTGAGTTTCAGGAAGCTGGAGCTACAGGTAGATCCTGTCTCAAAAAAAAAAAAAAAAAAAAGCAGGCACTAACTAGGTAAAGATGGGATTGTATACTCCAGCAGACACTTCTTGGCACCTTCCCCACCTAAAATCCAACCCCACCCACCTGTGCATCATTTTTGATGTGAATTACAATGTGGTCTTAGCTTGTTTCTCACAGCAGCTTCTGGCTCTGTTCTCAACCAGAATTCTAACATAGGCCCAGCTCTCCAGGTCAGTCTTCCCTGATGTAAAGCCAAAAAGCTTTGACAGACCTGTGAAGCTCTATCTTGTTCTGGCCTTTCACCTCTGCAACCCTGTCACTCATTTTCCACTCTATTCTAGATTCCCTTCCAGCCTGTACCAAGGCTTTTCACATGTAGTGCCCACTGCCTGGAACTCTACCCACCATACACTATTTCTAAGGCTCAGCTCTGGACCACTATTCCCCACCCCCACCCCCACCCCCACCCAGACTAAGCCCAGTGTTCTCCAGGCCTGACACTCTTAAGGAAAACTCACTATGACAAAAGTATTATCCCCAAACTTTAGAATTAAGTTCTGAGAGATTTTAAACACAACAAAAGCAAGTGTTCGCAGTCCCTCCTTTATTTTCATTTGGCCATACACACTCAAAAAAAAACCACACATACACTCACAAAATAACCAAACATTAGGAATTACAAGGGCATAAAATGGGACTTTAAGCTGAAAAAAATATCCCAGGCACCAGAACACAATACCAATCAGCTACTGAAAATGCCTTTGCTCAAAATACAAACATTTGGTTTTTAATGAGATTTTTAAGTTTTAGAAAAAAGGGAAACACTTAGAAATACGGGATAAGTTTCTTACACTGCCTAAGGTGGGCCTTGGCTTCTCTTCCTTGAGGCCTTTTGCTAATCACATGTGCCCTGGAGAAAGCTACAGAGCATCCAGAATGTGATCGATCTTGGTGACCAGCTCCTGGCGCTTTCCTGAGATGACCTTTTCATTCTCGATGTATGTGTCCTTCTTGAGCTTGCCAGCCACCAGCCGCTCAGCCTCCACTGCCGACTTAAGTACCAACTCCTTGACCTGGGCATCCAGCTTCTGCATTTCGCTGACCTGGCAGAGGCAAAAGCAAAGCAGAACTTGAGGGCTGTCCTCCCACCCCACTAAACAAGTCCCACTGCTCCCCAGGCTTACAGACCCAAAGCTCCACAGGGAAGAGCCATAAATGCAGCGAAGAACAAAGCCCAGAGCAGAATGCTGGCGTGTAGGAAGGCCTATCTCCAAACAGTAGCTTGACCATCTAAAAGCCATATTCTTCCATGCTCTGACTGGATAAGCAAGCTGCTTTCTACCCTGAGGACTGAGATTAAAAACCATGGAAACCCAGCACCAAACTTGACACACAGGGAGTAGTACTTCTCACCCTACTGGGGCCAGAGATTTAGTTAGGACAAAGACCAACTGGGCTAATGTGAGACCAGACACACTGCCACTGTCACCTGTTTTCAAAAAACCTGACACACAAAACCCACTCAAGCCTATAAAGAAACTGTTTCAGAGAACAGTGGGTGCTATGAAGGAACTAGAAGGGTAAAGGACTCGGGGTGGGATGCCAACAAAGTGCTCAGGAACTCTGAGGGGCACCTCTTTAAGCAGGTGTTCTTCCTTTACATGTAACAATAATTGGCTCACATAGCACATGACTATCAAGGATCTAAACACCAATATGCACCTCCTTTCATGCACTATGAAGGCTAAAGACATTCCCAATTTATATGAGGAAACAGAGGCACAGAAGTGTACAAGTCTGGGTCAGAGTCTGAACTCAAATTCATGCCATCTGGGTTTTTTGTTGTTTAGTTTGTTGGGTGTTTTATATTTTTGTGTATGAGTACTTTCCCTGCAAGTATGTAAGTATACTGATGTGTGCAATGCCTGTGGAGGCTGTAAGAGGGCATTGGATCTTCTGGAACTGAGATAGAAACAGTTGTTAGCTGCTATGTGGGTGCTGTGAACTGAACCGAGGTCCTCTGAAAGAGTAGCCACTAAGGCATCTCTCCAGCCCCTTGGTTTTTGGTTTTTTTTTTTTGAGACAAGGGTTGACTCTTTAGCCAGAGTTCACCTTGAACCTTAATCTCACTATGTCAGCTGGGCTGGTCTTCACCTGGAAATGCACACCCCCCCATCACCAGAATGCTGGGGTTCTAGGTGTGGCCACCATACAAAGCATCAGGGTGAGGAAGCACTGACCTCACTGTTAGCCACATGGGCAGCAGAGCATCTCCAAACCCAGCCTACCACAAACACCCTGAAGCTTCATGTCACTGGCACCACAAAGTATGGTGCTCAGCCTATACCAAGGAGGGGGGTACTGCCGTTGACAACTGAAAACAATCCCTAAAGTGGGACATGGAGAGCCACAGCTAAGTGACTCGCAGCTACTCACTCTGTCACACAGGTCAGAGCCCTCCGTCTTCAGTCTAGACTGCAGCACTGCAATCTCACTGGTCACAGCCTTGTGCTCTGTCTCCAGGCTCTTCTTGCCACTATTGAGGGTGGAGATGTCCCGGGACTGCTTATACCTATTGATGGTCTCATCAAAGTGACGGTAGAGGCCTAATCTTTTGTTGACCAGGGTTAAGACCTGTTCTGTGATGCAGGCCACCTTCATCCTGGCTTCTGCAGCTGGATCCTAGAGGATAGAAACACACTATGTCTGACAACAGTTAGGTTGGAGCCTATTCCAACCTATCAGATGATAAACAAGAGGTCACCTTAGAAAGCCAGAGTCAAACTCTAGCTGATTCTTCATGAGAACCAGGTTCAGCAACTAAGACTAAAGACATAAAGAGTCAGCAAACATTCCTTTGCAATCCACAGGCACACAGTCAGATGTGAGCAGGGACCATAATGGTAGAGTGTGCTATAAAACTGCCACAGCAAGAGCTCAGCCCAGTCATGAAGACTTCAAGGAGGCTACTACATCTCACACCTTCTTAACTAAAACTTCCAAAGTTTATTCAGGGACTTTAGGAAAGAGAGTGAACTCTTTCTGACATTTGTTACCTATTAGATGAGGCCCTGCCCTCTCTAGATCCTTTCTCACTATGTGTCCACTGCCAAAGCGTGACTAACAACTCAGAGCCTGGCTTGGGCTGGTGGACACAAGTTACTTTTACTTAATAAATCCTCAGAACTGAGGAAGATGCAGACATAGAAAACTAGTGAATAAGGGGATATAAAGAGGATTAAGATGTTCTGTATGAAATACACAAAGAGTCAATAAGAAAATTACAAAAAAAGAAAGAAAACTGGTGAATAAACAATGGCCCACACATTCAGTGGCATATCTGCAGATGCAAAAAGAATAATGAGGAATACTCCATGAGCTGATACGGAGGATTTCTAGGATATACTTATCAACTGGAGAAAAAGCTAAGCACAAAAATATATATTCAGTTGGGGCCAGGCATGGTGGCAAAGGCCTTTAAACCCAGCACTTGGAAGGCAGAGGCAAGAGGATCTCTGTGAGTTCAAGGCCAGCCTGGTCTGTGTGTGTGTGTGTGTGTGTGTGTGTGTGTTTGTGTGTGTGTGT